TCTGTCTGGGACAAACAGCCCACACAAGCACCAAAGACTTGTTAGTAAAGAGTGAGACACGCCCGTCAGCAGCCTGCTTTGGCTCGTCCTGTCTAACAGGTTTGTCGTGTCAGGCCTCGTTTTTTGACAGTTTCGACAAGGAAGCTCACGCCAGAGTTGTTTCTGAAAATCCAGCGGCTAAAATATTGTCGTTTCTCCTGGAGGTTAGCCCAAAGCCTGATTAGACCCGCTGTGGCACAAGGGAGTCAACTCCAGCTGTGGGCCAGAATCACTGGACTTTTTTGTTTCTTTAGTTTTTGTAAAGGCTCTTCCTTGTTTTGCTGCAGGTTTTGTGCTCGATGGCAGTATTGCTATCAGTGTGGGTCAGCTCACTGTCTCTGCTACAGATGGGCGGCTGCTTTGTCAGCAACAGACACTCAGGAGGTAGGAGCTGTTTCTGTTTTAAAATGTGGTGTGAAATGGGACTGGTTATGCAGAAGTTTGTGTGGGACTCATACCAGCTGCATAAAGACGCTGCTGGTTTATTGTCCAGAGGATCTGAATTCAACATTCTGTCAAACCACAACAGACATTCCACTAGTAAGCAGAACAATGGATCCGACAAGGGAAGCACTGAAACCCAGAGGAAGTGATGAGAGGGATGAAAAGAGCTGAGAGCTAATCAGAAACAAGGTGTAACATAGGAAAACAAAAACAAGTGGAAGCTCTTCGAAAAAGGGGAAAAGACCATAGGCCCATTCATAATATATTATATGTAATATCATTCATAATATCATTTTTATACATATAAAAGTTATACCTTAGTGGAATTTCTAATTCATAACTATATAAATCTATGTTAAAAAATGTTAAAGTTCAGTATTACTTCAATATGTTTTATCTTATTCTAGACAGTCTGACGGTGACTGATGACACCTTTTCTTAGTTTCTGTGGGCCACAGACAAAGATTTCCGTTTTTTTAAGTTTAACTGGAGAAAGTTGTTGTGAATCTGCTTCCAAACCTAAAGCAACCCTTGTCTTGGCAGCTGGACTTCACAGTGGGCTGAACTGTTTCTGTATCACAGCTGCTGATCCAATGCTTCCATAAACATTTCAGATATCAGGTTTTATCAAAGTAATGCCATTTTCCATTGATGTTAAAGAATAAGAAGCTTATGAGGAGACAAAAGGAGATAATAAGTGTATCCAATGTGAACTGTGTGTTTCAGTTCTGTCCACATGCAGTGATCTCTACACTCATGTTGTTCAAATCTCTAGGCAAAAATAGGCCAATGTAAAAAAGGAAAAAAGCTCTATGTCTATGAGAGAAGGTTGATAGTTTAATCGTTAGATCAGGTTAAGGTTCAAATATAATGTAAACCCTATTCTTAAAAGGGCTTTCATTGTAAATTAGAAGACAGACTTGGGGTCAGTGTCTCTAAGTCCGAGACCATGGTCTCTCACCGGAAAAGGGTAGAGTGTCTTCTCCGGGTCAGGGGGGGCGTCCTTCCCCAAGTGGAGAAGTCCAAGTATCTCGGGGTCTTGTTGGCGATTGGGGGCAGGGAGCGTGAGATTGATAGGCGGATCGGTGCGGCGTCTGCAGTAATGCGGGCGCTGTACCGAAAAAATGAGATTGCGGATAGAAGCGGCCGAAGCTGGTTTCCTCCGCAGGGTGGCTGGGCTCTCCCTTAGAGATATGGTGAGCTTGGCCACCTGGGAGGGGCTCAGAGTAGAGCCGCTGCTCCTCCAGTTGAAGGGGCTTTGGCATCTGATCAGGATGCCTCCTGGTCGCCTCCCAGGGGAGGTGTTCCGGGCTCGTCCCACCGGGAGGAGGCCCAGAGGAAGACCCAGGACCCGCTGGAGGGACTATGTGTCTCGGCTGGCCTGGGAACGCCTCGGGTGGCCGGGGAGAGGGGAGTCTGGGTTTCCCTGTTTCCACTGCTGCCCCCTCGACCCCACCCCGGAAAAGCGGTGGAAAATAAAAGGATGGATGGATGTTCTTGGGGTACTGGAAAAGTACCCCAAGCGAAGCAAAGTCTGTGGTGTGTGTTCCTTAAAAGCCTGATCCATTCCTGTGGTGATAATCGTTCTCCATGCATCAAAGGAAAGTCGTACCATGTCATGAATCTAATTTCACCTAAGTGGACAGTAGTCAATCCAAACAAAGAAGAAAAAACTTTAGATGAATGTAGAATTCAACAGAACCTGTGACCTAACTTGGAATATTTTTTGTGCTCTTTGGACAACATTTATTTGAAACAATGAAACAAATCGAGTTATTTGTCTAATATCTGTGTGTTGTTTTATGTCTTTGCTGCGAATGCAATGCTTTTGAAATGGCTAAAACAACATTTGCTTTGGAGTTTTGGCCAGAAATGGGCCGTTTTGCTGCATTGCCCCTGAGTGAGGATGCTTTGCGTCCCGTAGGGGACCCGGTGGTAGTGGATGAGCAGTCGGCTGCATCGTTCCTGTCCCGCTCTCTGTTGTACAACAGCTGGGACTTTGAGCTGGTGGTGAAGGACAGCCTGGAGAGGGAATGCATCGAAGAGATGTGTAGCTACGAGGAGGCCAGAGAGGTTTTCGAGGATGACGTTCAGACGGTAATGAACCTGATGTGTATCCGTCCACTTCAGTCGCAGGCCTCTCAATCAAACCACACATTTGACTTTGGACTCCTTCCAGCACCTGGATGGTTCAGAACATCGATCTCTTCTGAGAATGCCTTGAAAAGATTCTCAAAGTATAAATAATGACAAACGCTTTGTGATTGTTGCATTTTTTTTATTGCCGCTTCAGTTTATTTTTCTTTTCGCTGCATTCACTGACACAAGCTCAAATTCTAAAAGTAATTTCTGAATATATGGACCATGTGCTTTGTAGTTGGGGAAACATATACAAATAAGAGATTAATCAAATCTTTTCTTGCTTTCGCTTTTAGAAAATATTTTGGAAGGAATACATCAACAGCCAAGGTAATGAAAAAAAAAGAACATTATTCTTTGCTCTGATTTTCAGACCTTCGTTTTAGGCTCATTTGCAGACCTATTTGTAAACATAAACATAGAAGTTGTTAATTCAGTGTATATTCCCAAACCCCGACCTGCTAGATAACAGTGGTTTGGATTATTTCTGTGTTTTCCTTTGAAGAAAACGTGCCCAAAGTGGACGTGTCGGCTTTGGTGGCCGGGATCTTGGCTGTGGTCGTGACAGCTGTTATCGCCACCGTGCTGGGAATCTACTTCTACAAGAACAAAAATAAGAGCAGGAGGAGGCGGAATCAGTAAGTAAACTGATCGCTGGACAGATTCACATTTTTTTGGTAGAAGACTAGTTGTTAAATGTATGTGGAGTTAAGAAACAAGCTAGTGTTTTAAAAAAGAAAGTCTAAAGTTGCTTTTATTTCCAGCTTGTATTGCTTCTAAATTGGTTTTTGTGTTTTTTTTAATGTTCAATGTGTTGCTGGATTAGTATTGCTCTAGTATTTAACTGATATTTGGTTCTTTAGTGTGAGAACTATCAACCCCAGAAACATTATCGGCAAGGAAAATGCTGCATACATACAGTAAAGCCATCCCAACATCCTCAGGAGAGCTCCTATACCCAACAGACAACAGTATAAAACGGCTGTTTCATCAGAATATCTGAATATTTCCATGAGTATCTCTGAGGCTCTGACATTTCTTTCAGCATCAACTGAGAAAAAAAAATGGTTGGGGTCAAATACTGAACGTTCATATCCCAGAGCTGAACCAGGATCAGTTCCATGTCTCAGCTCTGTGAGCTGCGCTTTGCACTGTTGCAGTGCCCCGGTGAGAATGGCAGGAGATGGGAATCCAGCTCCAGAGGTGGTGCCCCTGGGTGGGATCAGCGCCCCGCCTCTGCCCAGCTACCACGAGGCTCTGAATCGCAGCGGACAGCACGACGCGCCACCGCCTCCTTACTCTGGGTTAGTGAGAGCATCCGTCTGCAGCACTGCTTAGATTCAACTCCAACAAAAAAGTATACAAGGAAGTACAAAGTGTAGAGTAAAGAATAAAAAAACACCATGAACACTTAAAAAAAGGCACCATGCAAAATCATTTCACTCAAAAACAGTAGCCTCCCAAGAGCCTGTTCTCATATGAGGACGCTGCATTTCTGCCTCTCTTTACCAGGATCCTTCTTTTTTCTTTGACCTTTGACCTCTTGGCCTCATAGCAGACTCTATCAGACACTACTGTTTGAAATCTAAAGCACATTTTACACCAATATTGTTCTTATTGTGGAATCAGATGTTGTAAATAAGTCATTTGGACCCACGGAACTAAATTTAATCAAATATCTAAACAAACATTTTAAATCTAAAGATAAACCCACTGAGCCAATATGAAGAAAAACTACCTGTACCAGGACAAAGTTTAGTTCTTAAACTTATCAGCTCCTACTGATCCAGAGATCTGGAACAAAGCAGAAACACACAGCAGATAAAAGCTGGGCTCTCAGGAGGTTAAACTTTTCTATTACATTTATTATAATTTTTTTAAATGCTGTTGTTTGTATTGTAACCAATGTCGCCATTTTTGAGATTTTTACTTCTTAACCCAAAAGAACACAGAATGGTTTGGCCTTTCATGGTTGACGGTGCATATTTACGACAAGAACATCCACAAGCTCTCTCTCTCTCTCTCTCTCTCTCTCTCTCTCTCTTACAACAGACCTCCATCAGAGCCTACCGCTCCAGCAGCCAGCCAATGAAAGAAGTGCTGGGAGAGTTTCGTTTTACTGGGGTTTGCACCAAGTTGTACTTCTTTTGAAAGTGTGACATTTATGCGCAATGTTTGTATGTTGGAGAATCATCTTCACATGAGACTGTGAAGCGGGAGAGCTTTTTGTGTGTGTGGCTGTCTTCTGCACTGTGTAATGTACTGAAAAAAGAGAATATAATTTTATTTTGAGGAGACTTCGAGAGTAATCACGTAATAATTATACATTTACAAAAGTTTATTTGAAGACATTTTACTAGTCTTGTATTTTGACAATTCAGGGAATCATATTTGTATTCATCTGGACTGACAATGTCAGCACAAGTAGCGATGATATTATATATTTATCATGTCAGTTTATGATTTATACATTCTTATGATACTCATTTCATGCTTATTTTCTGTAGTGTACAATAGTGCAAGATGTGACGCTTAGAAAGCGATCATTATCTCCCCATTCCTGAGTCTAAAGGAGAGAAATAAAGACAATTGAGCACTTTGATGAAAGGACATCACTTCCATTTGTTCCCTCGATCTCCATCTGCTCTAGTTGGAGGTGAACTGGAGCAGATGGATGTTAGCTCATGTGAAGTTCAATTTGCATCGGAGGGGACCGTTTAGCCAGATTGGATCCTGTAAATATTTACATGCGAATACATTTAAAAAGTAATGTTTTAGCTGAGAAAAACAGATCAGATCCAAATCGCTTAGATGTCCGAAACAGGAAAACAAACGACTAAATGACACAAGGAAGACACAACAAAGCAGCTCCTAATCAGAAAACTGTCCTCTTTAAATGTCTTCTGCGTTCAAGGCTTTACTTACAGAAGCAGAGTCTTCTTAGCCAATCGTGGACCTGAGGTTTATGCCTCTGAGCATATAGAGGGAAACCTCTAATTAAAAAAACTCAGCTATAAGCTATATTTGTCCATTCTGTTAGTCTAAATAAACATTCATAGAGTTTTCAAATATATACTATAATGACCTAGACGAGAAGTACATCTGTGCTGCAAAGAAAGAGATTAAGACTGACGCAAAGAACTTTAAAATACATGTGAAAAATAAGGTCCTTGAGGACTTTCCACTGGCTTTAAAACCATTGAATGGTTTCACCACACAGACGTTTTATTATCTGTGTAAAACATATTGCACGTATGATTAAAAGGCGAAAGAAAGTTTAAAGTTCAGTGAGTCAGATTGTCTAAAATATAGACAACACTACATTTAGACTCTAAATGTAGGGTATTTAACAGATCATGAGATTTCAACGGGGCACCACTAGATGGCGCTGCTGCTACATGGACCAGATGGTTCATCTATTTTTTATCTATCTCCAGATTCCAGCAGAGTACAGCGTAGGAAAAAAGACAAAGCTCCAAGTGTCCCTGAAAACCAAGATGGTGTTCAAGGATGCAACATTCTTGACCATTTCTGACACTGGATGAAAGAAAATTAACTTTGGCATTTACAAGAAGCCATCCGATGCATTTGAATGTTCGTTTATCTCTGCTTTCTCCTCTAAAGGACGAACATTTAGAAATACTGACATCTTCTCGCATGCCCAGATCCTCCGTTAGCACATTCCTTTAGCTGCTGTGACACATATCAGACCCTCATCTGAACTCAGAAACCTTATTTGGTGTTTTGTTAGATTCATTTTTTGTGATCTTTCATCCGATTTCAGGAATGCCTGAAGAAGCTAAGCTGACCCTTTTGGTCAGACTGCTCTGTGGTATTTTCCTTGTGAGGTTTAGCTCAGGCTAAAAGCTGGAGAATGTGCTACGTAGGTTTTATGCTTCAAATCTTAGGCATCAAATGTCCAAAACATTTGATTAATTTGTGATTCAGGTTTGTCTCTGGACTTTACCTCTGAAGATTTCCAGCAGTTTTTATTTCAAAGCAGAGGAGGTCTTCTGGAAGAGCAAGTGCATCTGCTGGGTTCCCATCAACTAAGCGCATTGAACATGCTCATTCTGGTGGGTTTTTCAAGTTTCTGGCTGAAATTGTTGCAGGCCTGTGATTTGGTTTGGTTTCCAGAGGGAGGAAATGTCAAATAAAAACCAAACAGTTACTCTCAAGTGCTTTTGTGTCATGCCTGGGTCTATTTAGTTTGGTTTTATAATGCTGTGGTCCTGCCATTTCCTGCTTTATTTTGAAATAGTGCCTCTCCTCCTGTTTCTGGTCACTTCCTCTTGTGCCACCAGTCTGTCTTCCTGATTCCTGACGTGGTCCACCTGGTCCTGGTTTCCCCTCATGTCTTCTCACAGTCTCCTCTCGTCTTATGCCGGTGTTTTGTGTCCGATCATTTCTAGTGTTTCATCGTTTCTGTCTGATCAGGTAACTCAAAGTTTTGATTTGTTATTCTCCAAGTGAGGTTCTTGTTTTCGTACATTTTCACAGCCTTTTGGTTTTTCCTCCTTTCTGGAGTGATTTTGTGTGGTCTGTTTTATAGCTGCCTGCTTTTCCTCTGGTTTTTTGGATTGACTATGATTTTTCATTAACGTTTCATAATTTATGAGTCCGATTAGTAGAGTGATTTTTGGTTTATAGTTCTTTGTTTTCTTTGTATTCTCTTTTCCGTTCTTTTGTATTATTTCTATATATGTAATATAATTTTTTAGACTACATTTTTAGATAGTGGTCAATGAATTGTGATCATTTATTAATGTTTTTTTAAACTTGTCCATCGTGCTGCAGGTTGGCTGAATTACAGATAACAATACCGTTTGGCTCAGAAACTTTAGTTGGCACAGAATTAAAGCAATAAAGTTAACCTTTAAAACAAACATTTTCCAGGCGGCTCCTTTGAGGCCAACGCCGTGCAGGCACCGTGTGGCTGTTTCCTGGTCAAGTGCAGTGTACGGAGGGTCCAGCCCGGCCAAAATCCAGCCATAATAAAGTTTCCCTCTCCAGTCATGCAGACAGATGACTGCAGGGTTCTTTATGTTTTCTGGCTGGTTTTCTAGACCTGTCAACTGATACAGCTTTAAGCCACAAATAGGTCAAACAGAACACACGAATCTGTACATCCAAAACAAGCACACACACACATAAGTCAGGTTGAACTTCATTTGCTTTTTATTATTTTTCTTGGGTTTCTCAATAAACTGAAACTGTCTGCTTTTTTCCCCTGAAGATTTAGTTTAACTTTTTTTTTCATATATATCCACAATCTGTTTTCTATTCATACCTGATCATAAAAGGGGATTTTTGGTCAAGTAAATCAGCATTCACAATCTGACATTTTTATTACAGCAGTTGTTTTTCACAAGCTCTTTGAATGTACTAGTTTTGTATTTATTATTTTTAGCATCATTATAGCCTAAAACCCATTTCCTGCTTAAGGGAAACCTCTCATAACCAAAAATAATGAGAAATGGTTCAGGCCTTTAGGGGAACCAGAACGTGCATGAACAACAGAGCAGACTGGGAATAAAATACAGAAAAAAGCGGAGTGGCTGATGCAGGAAATCACTCCTGATCATTAATGACAGTTTGGAATGAGTCATGACGAATAACCGTCACATGAAATCTTTGCTTCATGTGTTTTTTTCTCTAAGTTTTAGCGGAAAATGTTTTAAAACATTGGCAGGAGAGGCTTCCCTTCACAGAACTGATTCCTAGTCAAATCTTTAAAAAAAAAGAAAAGGAAAAAAAGGGCCACTTCTACTGACCCACACATGCGTTTTATGCAAATCCAATTGATCCTCAGGAGGAAGAAGCAGGGGGAGTACGGCAAGTCGGAAGACAGAGAGGAACACAGACTTTTTTTTTCCAGACTGGAGGTTTAGAACCATAAAATAAGCTAACAACTTTTTTAAAAAGTAGTGTTTTGGTTAAATCTTCATGATTCGGCTAAACTTACACAATATAAGACTGCTCAGCCTCATATTTGAGACTTTATCCATGATTATTTTACTTTCACTTGCTTTTTCTGCGAGGATATGATAAATCGCTTGATAGGGTCCACCATTTTCTTTTTTGAAGAGATGATTTAAAAAAAAGTCAAAATAAAAACACTTCTGGTCGTTTCATTCATTTTCATTTCCCATTCAGCCACTTTGAAACAAAATGTTAGCGCACAGCATGGTATTTGTTAACAAAATAAACATTCCCGAACAGAAAAAAAACAAGAGAATTCTTCGACAAAGTGATTTCAGTGATAAAACTTTGTGGGTTTTTTTTTTGTTGTGACAACCCATTAGGGTTGCATAAGATTGGGTTCTAGGAATGAATTTTTATCAGAACCTGCCAAGCAAAATGCTGAATTTTGAAAAGGAAGCTTTTCAGTGCCATTTTCCATTGGGAGGAAGAGGAGACAATTTATGAATTTTAGTAGTAATTTTTATTTTTAGAAGCTACAAAAAACCTGATCTCATTAATTTCAACTCTGATAATAAACAAAGCCCATCAGTCTGTCCTGTTTTGTCTCTGCAGGTGAACATCTGTGGGTTTTTATAGCAATTTATTCTTTGAAATGAAGCGCCAGCAGACAAATAATCCACTTTGGTTATTCTGACCCGGCCATAAGCAAGGGTGAGCATGCATGTTTGTCAGCTCGGTGAAGGTACTGTGGACCTGTCCCGAGTCAGGCCCATCCACCCAAAAAAGGAGCTGTGAAGAATGGACGGACAGATGGTTGCAAAGTTTGAACTGCCTAAGCTTCTTTTCTTATTTCTGTCTTATCTCCCACAGAGCAATGAGGTAGTCCTGCTTAGCTTTCATGTATCAGTCTATCTTTCTTTCCATCTCTCCCCATTTCCTAACGTGTGTTAAAAAGAAACACATAGATGGAAGTCGTGCTCACCTCCAATTTCATACATCACAGTAGTAGAAATATATCATTTTTAAATGGAAGACATATTATGAGTAGGATCCTCCCTTAAGGAATTGCCCACATAAGTAAAAAGGCAACAACATAGTTAAGCCTTGAAAATCTGCCTTTAGGCTTCAAGTAAATGTGCACAGATCCAGATTTACTAACCCAAATGATCAGACTCTTATTCTGAAATGACAATAGAAACTATCTCAAAAAGCTGCACAGCATCACACTTTAATCTTTAACGCCTACGGTTTTTATACAGAATATTCCTGAGACCGGCCCTGTTTTTCTATTTGTTCATTTGTTCCTTTCAGTGGTCAACACTGAACAGAGAAATGTCACTGCGATATCCGGAATTTAGATTCACTGATCCTACAACACGACTGCACCTTTCAAACTGTGCCAGAGGGCTACAATTTCTCTTGAATCCAACTATCAAATCATAGCTTCAGTCAAAGCCTTGTACAGTAGTTTACTAACTGATAATCAGTAACTAGGACTTTCCAGTGCTGCACTCCATTAGGTCCATGCAGGTTAAACTCCCAAAGTCCTCAGCGAAGTAATTTGATTTAGGACATTTTTGTGTAACCACCATAATTTTGAGGGATAACAAGCATCCAATAAGTCCATGACCTTTACTCATCAAACAAATAAAAAAGAAGCAGCTGAGATTGAAATATCAAAAAGAAGTCTCACTCAAAAAGTGTTGTTTTTTTTTTACATAAAATGCACAATTTAGCCTGCAAACAGTTCATTTTTCTTACAATAAGTCCGATAGTGACAATGCCATCTAATAGCACTCATGGGAACCGGGCCTTGCAAACATTAGGGCAGGTCTACTCACAGCATTAGAACCTGTATGGACAACTTTAAAGGGATAGCAACGACTTCAGCATGACTTTACTGTGGAACAGGTGCTGCTTTGACTTTAATTCAAACTATTCTAACAGATTAAGATGTCCACATAATACTAACTTATTTCCAAACTCAAATTTAGATTAAAAATGTACTATTTAGATACTCTATGCAAAGATTAAGAACATTAATCTCTTTTCTGAAGCCATTTTGAAGGCGAAAGCTAAGTGGATGAGAATTACACTAGCGGGATAACATTTAGCAACTTACTACTTATGGGATCATCTTTTTTCCTGTCCTCTAAACGGTTGAAGGAGAGCAAGAGCCGAAATTTCTCCCTTGTCATTTGCTTCTTTTTTTGTCTCGTCACAACCACTGAGGGCTAAGAGCTAAATCATATATTTCAGCTACCACTTCTTATGCTGAAAAGAGCATTTCCACCTCAGCCTTTAAGAGGACAAAAAGTCGCCAGCCGCTCAATCTGTGGCTGCACACTGCAGCCTGAAGTCACCCAAATCCCTTTTTTTGTGAAATCTGATTCATTTCCCTGCTCGTTCACATTTCCAAATAAATGCGACCTGCATGGGGGTCCAGAGTGAGCCGCATCACAGGCCTGTCTGTGCTCCAGCTCTCCAGGAACCCAACAGCTCTGGTTAGTTTGAGGTTTCAGGCCCCTTCTGTTTGATCTGGAGGCTCTTATCTGTCTTTGGCTTTGGAGCTTGGGACGTTTGTAGCCAAACTCGGCCATTTTTTAGGAAATGCTAACGAAAATGTCTGGTTTCCGATAAGACGCCTTGAGTTTGGCCTGGACAGGGCTGTCCAGCTAAGTAATAATGAAGTCAGAAACCTGGCTTCCTGTCCACTGACTGCTCTCTGCTTTATCCTCCACGTGGTTGCGGTGGTTCTTTTGTGTAGCGGGACACAGAAAAGTGTTGTTTGCAGAGGATCAGTGACGCTCAGGTGGGACGAGCGTGACCCGGCTGGACGGACAGGGGTCCCATTTGATGTGTGTGTGTTCTGGATTTAGGACCACATGGGACCACATGTCCATGTGTCCTGGCTCGCATTTCAAATCAAAATGTCGAACCAGGCTGTGTTGTTCACACTGTCGTGAAAAGGTCGCATCAGGGCAAAAACGTGGGATTTGGGTCACCTCAGGCTGCGGGTGAAGGCGGCATAAGTTAGTGGCAGCAAACCTCAGCTTAACAAAGGCGCCCGCCCTCAGCTGCCTCTGGACAAACTTCAGTCAGGGATTTGGCTAAACGGACAAGCAATAGAAGACTGAGATGAAGAAAAGAAGCGATAGTCAGATGAAAGGTTTAAGCAGCAGCAGCTCTCAGTGTCGATGGTCCAACGTTCTTTAGGTCTGAAAAAGCCTTTTGTCAAATTAAGGCCTGAAACTTTCTCTCTGGAAACAAACCGCAATACATATTTGGCTTTCACATCGCCGTTTTTTGAAGTTCCATTCACGTTGGGAGTCTTAGCTCTGTTTTCATGGTGGAATTCAGTGTGACTTGCAGATGTCATGCAAAAAAAGTCATGCTGGAAAAGTTACCCTAAAAACTCCATTTCTCTTTTTTGTCCAAACAAAAACTTTCTCTGGCTGAACACCTGCTTCTTTTTCTACTTCCAAGAGGTGGCGTGAGACGCTCAGACATCTCCCACCCCACAACAGGGGCTTGAGTCCCTCCTCATCCTTCCACAGGCCAGTTCACAAATAAATAGAAAAACGGGGATGGTGGGAATGTTTTCTCCCAACTTTTGCAGGGTCAAAAAAAGAAAAAAAAAGAAAAAGAAAGATCGATCTCCACGTTTCTCGTTGACCTTCTTCCTGTATTTACAAAAGGATCACTTTCATTGTCCTTGTCCTGGTTTTAATTGGTTTTTATTCATGCCATGCATATTTCTAAACAGGAGGAACAGTCACAGATGCAGAGATCAGGGGAGACGTGATCAGGCAAGGAAAGACATAGGAGGAAAGTAGAGCACGAGGAGGAGATCATCTGTGTCTGGCATCCATTTTTTCTGCAGCTCACACTCGTATCGACTCAGAGTTTCCTCGTCTGTGTACGTTTAGATCTCGGGTGACTGTGTCTTTGGCAAAACTGGAGAGCTCTGGGCGTTTCAAACGATCACCCGAAGGCGGCTCAGCTTGAAGGTGGAGCAGATATCAAACAGGTGGGGCTTTTGTCGGACGTTTCTGGGACATGGCTCGCGTTTTGGGATTGGGATGGGCGGGATTGGGCCTGCTGTTTAGAGATGTTGGAGTTCATTACAGGGGTGCAGGGCACCCCAGTGCAAACAGCGGAATAGTCGTTGCAGGAGCTTGACATCAGAGTGTGGGACACACTCAAAGGAAATCGATAGACGCGTATGTTGTTTCTTCACAAAATCGAGAACACTGAAGCACTGATTTAGTCTGAATAGTGCAGCATTATGGAGAGTGAGCATACTCAGTCCTGAAAACTGTTGTTGTCTTATCATAGTTTCCAGATCATCTTGGAAAATGAATTCCAGTCTGTTGGAAAGAGGTGGAATGTCTGGTCTCCCATGCTTTGATGGTTTCAGATCTTTTTTTCTTTTCTTTTATACTGCATGTGATGATACCGTTAGGTTAGGAGTATCTGAGATACTTTTCTTTTTTTTTTTGTTCCTCGTTTCATAGTCTTTCAGTTTGAGTATTGAGAATGTTTGTGGGAAGCTGAGGAGCAGCGCTTTAGAAATTAAAGTTTTCCTCTTCTCGTTGATTTAGAAACTCAGCACTGTAATGGAAAAAGAAAAGAGAATTTAGTACGTCATCAGGCACACAGCTCCTGGTCCTCGAAACAGCAGCACGTGGCTCAAAATGAGCAGGAATAGCCGATAAAGCTGCAGCCAAAAAAACAAACAAACAAACAAACAAACAGCAACAACAGAAAAAAACACAAGGGGGAAACAATAAGGGCTCTTGTTGAAGGTAAAACTAAAACCTCCCTAACTTTAGGAAACTTAACCTGACTTTTAAATGGCAGATATCAGGTCACGCAATGAAAGAAATGCTACAGGACCACTCATGTTGGGACTTTGACAACAAAAAGCATGCACGCACCTGCATCTGAAGAAGGCCCTGAGATAAAGTGTGCCTGTCTGTTCAGGTTCCTGAGGTGTGAACTTCTTTGGCCCCTCTTAAAGAAGGGTTCACATTTGGGTAATTGTATTGATCTTTTTCCAGCGCTATCACCATGTCTGAGGTGTGAAGTCTCTTCTCAGAACACTGGTATTACGGGGGAGGTGGAGCAGCTGGAGGCTGTGGGCTCCAGAGGACCTCCTACACATGTGACCTGCTCTGCCTGTGCATGGGATGCTGTCAACCCTCCAGTGGAATGGCCTCGCTTTGTGTGGACACATCCACAGATCTGCTGTTTCGTGCCCTAAAAGTGTGAGAACAAGCAGTCGTATCTAATCACTGAGCTTTTTTCGGAGTAAAGGAACCGACACAGCTAGCCTGGTGTCTCAAATTTGATCCAAATGCAGGGGAGTTCAATTTGTTGTGAGGGCTGATGCCATTCCAGTTATTTAAATACTGGGAAAAGTACAAGGAAAGGTCCAATGTGGGAAATGATCAGGCAATCTCAGTCTATGAGGGGTTCCCACCAGCCCAAAGTGAGGTGCCTCTAGGGTTTGGAGCTGCAGGAGCAGGACCTTAGCTACTGGCTGACTAACACCGTTTCCTTTGGAATGACTTGAGATTCTGGATAACCGTTGCAGCTTTGGCTCCATGTGTGTGCCCTGATGAGTGATCAGTAATGCGGGTTCTCTGCTGATAAAGGATTCATTTGAGAGGCAACTTGCAGGACATTTAAAGAGAATAAATAAAGCAATCGAAAGATATTTACAGGAAAATTTAAATCCAATATGAAATTAGCACCTTTTTGCCAAAAGCATCAACATGGGGAAAGTAAATGTGTTTTTCTGACTTCAAAGAAAACAAAATATATTTTCTATTTTTTATATTAAAAGTGACTTTTTTCTTTTAAAATTCAATGTTTTTTTGTTTTGTTATTTATGTCTGCAGGTAGATTTCAGGGATTTTCACAGCAAACATGCCAAAACCAGAGGTGTGCCCGGCTGGGCATCCTCATGCTGGCAAAGAGCACTGGTCACTCCGCCCGGTCTGCACCACCATTAAAACTGTACAACCAGGCAGCGGTGCGCTCATTTCAAATGACAACGGCTGAATATCGGCAGTGTTTGCTCCGTGAATTCAATCTCCCACCACATCATTTGAACGGTCCTCTGTTACCTCCATCCTGAATGCGCCTGTAACCTCTGAGGAAGTAACGATGGGAAATGAGGGGACGATGTGTATGACATGTTTAGTGAGATGTCTGCTCTCTGCCCTCACTGCGGCCTGCTGTCGGTTTCTGAACTGGAGGGAGCTCTTTCACCAGCAAAGTCAGTTAGCACTCCCAGTTGGCTCAAAAACAGACACACGGTGACCCTTTAGACGAGTCTGATGGCCGATTGGTGGAGACCGCTCTTGCTATGGCAGCCACGAGAAAACGATGTCTGCCCAAAACAGTGCAGTCACAACCCTGGAACATCCTCACAGGGAATAAAAAGGTGATTAGCCCTTCATTTTTTTAAAGTTTTCATTTAGAATCTATATGCACAAAATAAAAGTAAAATAACAAAACTTGCAAGCATGATGTTTATTTCTGTATCTTTAGTATGACATACAAACACAGCACAGTACAGTAAGTGCAACTCCATCTCCAGAGCATTGAGGCTTATTCCTGGTTTGTCTACTGGGATCATAGCAACACATTTAATCCCAAAGATGCTGCTGGCAAAGAGGCAATCAGAGTTCCTGTAAAATTGTGAGACGTGTAGAGTGAGGAGTTACAGTAATCTTTTTTTTTTTTTTGCTTTAGCACAAGATGAACAGCTTTCAAAGACCTTTCCAGTTTAAGCAAAAACTAAGGAATAGCAGGTTACAGTAAAATAAAACCTTGTAGTCTGTTGCCTCCAGTGATATCAAAATGAAAACTAAGAAATCAAACAATACGACAGAGTAAATTCAGCTGAAGAAATGAAAAGTCAAACACGCCACAGCAGCAAATTGAATGCAAATGACAACGTTTCTTCTTGCAGCGGACATGCAAATACACTGAAAACACAAAGCTTTCATTTCAAATCGGTACGGGCTGTTACCAGGAGTTGATCTGTGGTCAGCGATTGGGCCAGAGGGCTACAGCCGACTGGGACCGGATTGAAATATACCGAGTGTCCAGCAGAGCAGTTTCTAGCCAGATCTCAACTAAACAAGAAGGGGTTTTTTGGCTTTGTTTTTTCATCCCATTTAACTGTTGAACAGAGTTAGCTGTGACAGGTCGGAGCCATCCTAAATAATTTACTACCATTCACTTGCTACTGCTTGACCCACATGTGAAAATGAAATATTGTGTCATACACACACAAAACAAATCAATAAAATAGAAATAAAAACAAAAAAACAAAATAAAATCACAATACACAGTTTAAATGAAGTACAAGACAAAAAGGACACCAAACAACGGTGATGTTAACATTCTTACATGAGGAAGTGATTTTGCTTCTTCCTTTCTTTTCCCATCCTCCACATCACCACACTTCTCTGTCTTGCCCAGAACTTTTCCTCCTCCATCTCCTTTCTGCTGCTGCTCAGCTGATAAACTACTCAGAACACAACAGTTCAAACCATCTCTGCCCCGCCCCCCCATAGAAAAGTGACCATCATTCCTTTTTCATCACCATGTCTTCTTCCATGGTGAAGTCCACTCTCAGGTCTTTAAGTTTTTTGTTTTTTTTTGTGTTAGCCAAGGTACTCAAGTTGAGGTTTAGTTTTTGTTTTTTGCTGATATAAGATCTCCAAATGTGGGAATTTGCCACGTCTCATTAAAAACGTGGGACACTGCTATTAGGAGAGGGTGGAAAAGCAAAAGGATTCCATCGGGAGAAGACAGGATGCACACTTGCATTTGAACAAGGAAAGCAAAACAGCATTTTTGAAGGAAAGGCTAAAAAGAACAAAGAAACAAAAACAGAGCATAAAGGACTTCCATGAATTGAAAATGTACCTTTTCTTTCACCGTACCATCATGTTCACACATACAGTACATCGCTGATGAAACATGGCCGAACACAAACACAGTGGGACACGAAGAGAGACTCAAACACAAACAGGATCTTTGTACGGATGGAAAAGAAGGAAAAACAAGCAAAAACAGTGAAGGACATTGAGAGGACGCAAATTCTAAAAATCCCCAAAATTTTACCTTTGAATTCTTCCACAGCAGCACAGGGACTCAGTGGGATTTGTTATGCATAAAAAAAATCCAGATTCATTTCCATCTATTTCAGACTAATTGAGAAGGTGAAGAATTTGCAATTCCAACCCGCTAATGTTAAAAATATCAAATACCCCAAATGCCCCAGGTAACTTTAGCTATCCCCAAGGTCACCTGATTAGTGCTGAGTGACCAGAACAGACAGTGGTCCGGCGCTTATTTTAGACCGGGTTACGTTGTGGATCAAGCCTGCCTTTAAAACAAAAGGACTGACACCAGCAAAAACCTGGTGGTAGTCCAGTTGTCGGCTTTAAGCAAAGGTGATAGCTGCTTCCACGCTTCGGTCAAGTTTACAAAAAATAAATCAAATAAAAAAGAACCTGCCGATTTTGTCCATGAGCGGAGAACCGCCTGTAAATATTACAGAGGTGTTCTTCTTTTTGGAGGGTCTGCGGTCTGATTGGGACCACACACCGCAGGACTAACGGAAACCAATGAGGGCGGACATGTCTGGACACTCGGGGAGCATTTTGGGAAGGCTCTATCACTTTTCCTGGTCGAGAGTGAATTTTCTGAATCGTCTTTTTTTCCTTTTTAACTTATTTACATGAGTTCACAGTAATTCACAGTAGTGCTTCTTTTTGCATATATCTGCCGACGCAGAATTTACAGAACAGAATCCACGTCCCAAGAAAAAGTTGGGAGGGAAAAGGATTGATGCTACACCTGTTCCTGTTTGTCTTAGACTTATCAGTATGGATAAAAAGCAAACACATAAGACATAGTTCCCCTCCCAAAAAGGGGCTTTCTCTCTCCATTACGCTACCCCCATTCGGTCTGATCAGTAGCATTTTGGCATGCATAACGGTAACTCATACCTTCTCTTCTTACATTCACAGAGTGAAGAGTTTTTTGTCCTGCATGCTTTTTGCTAGTTCATATGTATGCTTCTAAATACATACACTGATGCATTCTCTTAGAAATGTAAATATTCTATACACATTCATTAATCTTAAAATAGAAGTCGGATGATTACCCTTATTGCTTGCAATGGAAACCCATGCAGATTCTTACACAACACAAACTTTACATATGTACACAGTTTAGACCAAAGCAATTAGTCAGCAATTGCCTCTGGAAATGACAGATGCACTGATAGGACATGGATGTTAAAGGGAAAAGAAGGTGAGGGAAAACTGAACTTAGAAGAAATCAAACACATATGAGTGGAAATCAACTTTCTGCCTGAGAATATAAACCTGAACTTCCACTAGTTTGAAACTTTCACACTATATTCGAGAGCTAAATGACAACTTATCAACCTAATCCAGTAACACAAGGAACTTAAATTCTTGCTTGAACAGTAAAAATAGATACAAATAAAATTTATTTGGGATTCTATTTGCAAAAAATTATTCTTTCTTTTTTTGGCTGAGAGTTGATGAGGAATCCCATACAAAAAAACAAACAAAAAAAACAAACACACATGTAAATCCTACACGTTTAAATTAAAATAAGAATAATTAAGGAGTAACAAAGCCTGTCTCCACTATAGGAGCTGAAATGATTTGCATAAAAACATGTTCAAAGACAATCTGTTACATATATTCATTTAGTTTAGATCAGAGATCTGAATCTACTCAAATAAAACAAATCTAACTGACCAGAAAGATCTAATGGTTCTTTGTTATATCTCCATTTCTCTGAGACAGATATTGAGTGCTGAGAACAGAGAAATGGAACATACAGAATAAGAAAATAATCAAGTATATATATATATATATATATATAATGCAGCTCCAAATTCAAAGGACTTTCAACTTTAAATAACATGAGTGATAAACAAACAAAAAAGTAGAAAACAAATGACTGTAAAAAATTACATAAATATATGTAAATTTGATAAATAACATTGAACCAAAACTGAAATACTGAAGAAGCTAATGGAGAAGGTCAAAGGATATGTTGAAATGTTTTTTTAAAGATAGAGGTTGTGCATCTCGTTACAGAAATAAATAACAGCCTGAGCACATACAATAAATCTGAAAACAGATCTAACTTTCATTGTCTTTTTTTTTAATTACACTGCATATTTTTTAATGTTTTTGTCCTTGTTGCAATCTCTCACTTCTTCTGGTTTGGTATTTGGCTTCCACTCGTCTTCTACCATGGGCTGTCGCTCCAGTAGCCGTTCATGGTGCCTCCTACTGAGCAGAAGCAGCCAAAAACAAAGACAAGATGGAAGGACAGAAGAGAAAGGATAGGGAGGGGTCGGGGGGTAAAGGCAGGGCAAAAACAGGGAAAGAAAGAGAAGCCAAAAAGGGAGAAAACTAAAAATATTGCCATTGGCTGCTGAGTCACACTGGGGAAAGTGCAAGTCAATATACTAATGATGGCAGTGATGGTGATGGTCATAGTGGGATGGACTCTGACCTGAGGAACGCTCCACATTTCACCGTCAGTCTGAGCTGCAATGTCTGACACTTGTCCAGATACACAGGCATCCAGAGGAGAAAACCTGCTCCGCCTTTTCTTTTAAATCAATTTCAGAACCAAATGAGATCGAGATGTCTGAGAACTCCTGGATGAACTTACAAACATACCAATCTGACCTTTTTTCTTTTACTTGACAAACCACGTCAGCGTGCATGTCATGATGATCCCACATTTTCTTTATCCATATCCACAATAGTCAAAAACCTCAATGTAATGACAAGACTCAGAGTACACGGTCATGACATCGACAACATTTGGGTTTATGACATTAAATGAAAGATTTATCCGCTCTCAGGCATTTTGACAAGGCAGTTCATCTAACCTATATTGGTTAAGACAAGTTCTCTCTCCTAAGTTTCATCCTCACTGTATCCCATTGGGACACCAGCAAATATGCTCTCTTCTTATTGCTACATTAAGTTATCGACGACGGGATGAAGTGCGACAATAGACGAGCACTTATTTCCAGTTTCGGGCACTACAGCTCAGTCTTTTAATGCAGGCTCAGGTGAGAGGATGACTGGTGAAGGATGAGGGGATGATCTGATCCTACTCTAAGTTTCAATGACAGTGGCTACACTGTAATGCCGAGTTCAAAATGGGTTGCTCAGACAAATTGTCCTCCACGTATTAAAAAAAGATAAGAAATAAAAAGCAAAGATTGCATTCACCAGCTCTGTGGTGAATCCCTTTTTGGCTTTTGGACATCTTGGGAAACCATTTTCCACAGGACAATAGCAATGAGAACATAGGCTCATTCAAGTATTCCATCTCAGCAAAAGGAGTTATTGATATGTCACCAAATTCATTGACATGTTCACAGTAGTTTTATTCACAGCAAAGCTGGGGAAACGTCTTACCTGCAAAGGCCTCTCCTTATAATAGAAACACGGAAGAAGGACAGAAGGAAAATATAGTTCTGTTCATATTAGATATGTGTGCTAAATATGGCCTCTATCTGAATAATGTCCCTGGCCTTCATTTGCTTCTAAACACTGAGGTGGATGGATGCGCCAATTCATTTTTCTGTCCGTCTACTTTAAATAGCTTTCTTCACATTCGTTTTTCATATTTGTTAGAATAGGAAATGACCTTGATTAATTATACCCAAACCCAAATTTGGCAATGGGATTTATTTACATGGTGAATTCAGCTTGATGTCCAACTTCTTTATAAAAATACTCGTTTACTACATTTAATTCTAGAAAGTGTCTATAGTTCCATCTGCAGTTAAGAGGTAAATATAAGTTGTCTATTTCTGGATTAGTATTTTTTGGATCTCTGTGATGCATTACATGCTTCTTTTGGGTCTGTTGGCACTACAAAGTTAACCTGAAACGCAATAGGATTTTTTTTTATTAGACTTAACCCCACATAACTCTGCCTCATGTCATTAATAGAGTAAGAACAACCGATGCTCTTCCTTATAGAAGCATCGATAGTTGTAATATGTAAGCCTACTCTACCGGCAATTATGCATTTGGAACATTTTCAAAGGCAGATGGATCAGGATTCATTCAATTGCATTGTGGGCCGATTGAAGAGTCAAGCTGAGGAATCTTGTGGTGTGCTCCGGGCCTCGGGGGTCATAAGTTAGCCTTCAGTTCCACAGCAAACGCCCCCCCACACCAGCTCTCACGCTGTCTTTCTAAAAAAGGATTTTTTTTATCACATTCTCATGCAGTCAAGAGGAAGGTGAGTAAGAAAAAAAAAGGACAGGTTCTATCACCACCTACTTCTTCTCTGCTGCTTATTAAAGGGGGGGGGGCCGTGTGTCCATGCACTAAAGGTTTCCACACTAAACATCTGTTGTGGCCCAGTTCTCTTAAGGTGCAGAGGTGCTCCAGCTGGGATATGTCTGTTCATACACTTCTTGCTTTTTTTTCTGTACTGGGTGTATGCGATTTATTCTGAAATTCCCATAAATTGAACCATGCGTGCTCCAAATGCATGTTGCTGTTTGTCAGTGGGTTCATTCATTCCTATTTGAAAAGGGTTGGTACAAACCCACTCTAAAGCCGTGGAGTGAGAGGGTAGTCGAAGCACAGGGAAAACTACAAAAGACTAACTACTGGATAAGTTTCAACTACCCTAAATTCTACCCCTGTTAGTAAGACAGGCTTGCTGGTGTATTTTTCTGTATTTGAGAATATATTTGCTAAAGCTTCTAGTAAAGCTAAAATTGAAAACTGTCTTTTTTTAAAAATTTGGCCGAGTGGCTTCAAGAACTCGAATTCTTTTTTTTTTTTTCTCTAAGAGGAAATCATGAAAAATGAAATGAAGAATGGAATAACAGCTTGGAGGAATGATGCTTTTCCTTGTCTTGCATGTTCTTGAAAGGAGGCATTTCCTATTTTATACTGGTTGGCAATTCTATTTGTTCTGTGCTGGCTATAAGGGAAGCTATAAGATGGAGGGGATAGGTGAGTGGCAGCGCCTGAGGCCAGGCGGCTCGAAAGGCTCAAAGGTGGAATTGGTGATTGGAGTGAGTCGCAGCTGGCCCCCCGTCATCCCAGAGATGTTATTCAGGCTGCGTGACTTCTCATAACCTGTGGCTACATGACATGCACAAGTCAAAGGGCAAAGGTTAGAGCAAGGTGAAAAGTCATTTACAATATGTATGATCAGACAAGTTTTCCCATGACATGGCAAATATTTGAAATGGAAAGACATGTTCATGGCAGAATATGGTGATATAGGCATTGATGGTATGTGGATGGCAGCGTTGCACATCATATATAGCAATAAAGGAGCCATTACAGTGACAAGCAGGTGTAAATCAAATCATAAAGATTTTGAACCAAAACGTTAAAATACCAGCCCAAAACAGATAAGATATCATAGACAAAAGAAGGAAATTTGAAAAGGACAGACAGATGGATGGAGGGACAAACAGATGGACAGACAAACAGAGACAGAGACAGGACAAAAGAGGAATGTATGTTATGAAAATCAGCTATTAGTTGCCATAATATCTCTTAATTACCTAGATGTGGAGATCCCCAGCACCAGCATGAACCATGTAATGAGGGAAGGGTGAACTAAGTCCAATGAGCCCTTTAATCTAACCACCACCTCATGTTAATGCATCCAGTATTATTTGTGTGCTGTCTTTTTTTTTGTATTCGACTAAACGGTGTAGAAATGAATGACATCATTCACTGTCATGTCCAGGCAGTGCGATCCAAACTGTGCCCCTGAAGAAGCAGTAACACCTTACCACTGGGAAACAGACAGAAAAACAGAGGTAACCACTGTTCAAATTAGCTCTGATGTGAAGTCATTTTGAATATGAATATGTATTTTGGTGGAATTTGATAGTATGAAATATCACCAATATTTGGGTGTCACTAAATTTGCTACATAAGTTGCTTTTGTGTCTAAAACATGTTTAGAATAATATTTGTACATTTTACAGCTAAGAATGATCATTTCTGGTAAAAAAAAAAACTTTTTCATGATGCTATTGTTTTTAAATGGATATTATTATTACTATTATTACTATTTTTCTTATTATGGACTGTGCATAGGATCTGTCATAAAAGTGAGAAACTTAAACATTTTATGAAAATGTTTTGCAGATGATTTCCAATTTGGATTTCTTTAATAAATACTTATTCCATGCTGTCTTTATTTTTGGCAAAAGCATCAGAATATTCTAATGAGAGGCTGTGATATGATATACATCTATATCTATATCTATTTAAGAAAGCTTTTACTGGATTGAATGTTTTTCATTTTGTATTTGTACTCTATTTTCATCTTTATTCTATTTATACTGTTTTGCTACTTGCCTTTTAGTTTGTATTTATAGTTATACATAGAACATTTTAGAAATGATAGTTTTCCTGTACAAGTTTAGGAGCGAAATATGTATTGCTTTATTTATGATTGTCTCCAATTGTGTTAATAGAATAAAATAAAATCAAGTAGGCACTTTAGTTAAAGCCGTGTGTAAAGTACCGAAACGGAGGAGAATGTTAAAAAACAGGCGTATGTGTGTAGCTCAGCATTCAGCTGCTTTGTCACTATGCGGTGCACACGAAGACAACACAAGTTCATCTGGAGAGACTTTATAATTACTCAGCGCTTAAGCCCTCCAACCATAAACTGTTAGCTACTGTAAAGTACAAAAAAACCCTCCACTCTTTTTTACTATCATTGATTTTTTTCATATCTACGATTTTCACCCTTTTAACCTCCTGAGAGCCAAGCTTTTAGCTGGTTTCTGCTCTGTTCCAGATCTCTGGATCAGTAGGAGCTGATACGTTTGATAACCAGACTTTGTCCTGGTTCAGGTAGTTTTTCTTCATAGAGGCTCAGTGGGTTTATCTGTAGATTTAAAATGTCTGTTTGGACATTCAATTAAATGTTTTCTCTGCAATTTGGTTCTGAGGGTCCAAATGTTAAGAACATGATTGCTGTAAAATGTCTAATTTCCTTTAGATTTCAAACAGTAGTGTCTGATAGCGTCTGCTATGAGG